TTGGTAATTGCCAAAAAAAAGCTTTTCAAAAAAAAAAAAAAAAACCTTAGGGGAATGACTTTTTTTTTTTTTTTTTTTGCCACTCTAGAACAAGTTTTGGCAATTTATTCTCAGGTATTATGACTCCTCCTACTTCATCTGCAACCACCTTTTTTTAAAAACATAGAAATCCAAAAACTGGACTAAATACATTTCTTGGTATTGATAATACTTTACTATTTTACTATGAAAATCCTCATTCTAGGTTTATTTAGCTTAATATTCTAGGATTTTAAAAGATTAGGTAAAAAATTTATATTCACTGATAAGTATATTTTCAGGCAGCTAATAAACCATCTCCTCCATTTGAGCCAACTTGGGGTTTAGTTTGGTTTTGTCTTAACTTTCCAACCGGGTCAGTAATAATACACATGTATTTCCTTAATTTGTTCTCACTTCACAATAAAGGGATGTGTAAGAACTTCTGGGAAAAGGGAAAACAGGTAAACTTCCATCAAACATAACTTTAAATGGCATGTACTTTTTCCTTAGTCTGGATGCTTCTCCACCCATAGCCTTACACAGATGGTGCTGCCTAACCATCCAGGTCTCACTACGAAGGTCACATCCTCACAGAGATTTTTTTGAGTATTCTATCTAGAGAAGCCTGGCTCCTTTACCATCCCTCTGATGCTTTCTGCATCACCTGTTCTATCATTTTACAGTCCTCAACCCTAGCTGAAAGGATCTTGCTGGTTCACTTATTTCAAGGCACCATTCCCTCCACCAGAGTATAAACCCAATAAAAGCAAGAACATCCATCTTTTTCCCTTAAGTATCCCCAGTACCTACTGCACTGGGACACAGTATATGCTCAATAAATATTCAGTAAAAAAAAAAAAAATTCAGAAAGCCCTTGTCAGATTGTGAATTTTACCAGTAATCCTGATCTTTGCTATGGTCCTATGTTCACATTAATGTAAAATGTACCTTGTTTTTAACAATAGTTACATTAAAATGTATGAGCATGCTTGCTTCAGCAGCACATATACTAAAATTGGAACAATAAAATGTATGAGCATTTTTAACACTGAACTTAGTGAAGAAAACCCAAATAAAAAATAAAAGCTGTATAATTTAAAAGAATTTTTCAAGATCTGATAAACATAAATAATATAAATGTATTTAGTTACATTATGTTATAAATTCTTCATGCTACACATCTACACAGATAAAAATGCTATACGAACATCAAAGATTATTTCTGATTATATATATTAACAGTAGTACACAGCTGGATTGTATGCTGAAATCACTAAAGTAAATGCTCCCCTACATTTGCATTGCAGACTTCCCCTAGAACAGGTTGATCTGTTATCTTTTAAGCCCATAGCTCTAAAAAGTATCTTATATTTTGTTTTACTATGTGATAATACTTTACTATTTTACTGTGAAAATCCTCATTCTAGGTTTATCTAGCTTACTATTCTAACATTTTGAAAGATATGTGATAATGCTGTCATATACTCAAACACAAACACAATAAGTGCATATGCATCAAACACTATTTAGTGAAAAATATTTATAACTAGATACCAAATTTGGCATTTGAAATGTAAAAATAATATAAATGTGAATAAAATAGTTCTTACTTCTAAAGATTTCATGATTAATGGGCAAGAGAGAAAAAGAAAGTAAAGAAAATGTTCAGGAGACAAAAAAGCCTGACAGAAGTTTGTCTGAGGTGCTACAGAAATGAGGGAGAAAGCATGTCATCTCAGTAGGGGCATCATGGAATGCTTCCTGGAAAAGAGGCCACTTGAGCTGAGGCTTAAGGATTAATTAAATTAGTCTAGCGGAGAACAGAAACAGATGGAAGTGCATATGCGAATGCCAAGCGGCTTGATACCTTAAAGGAACAGCAGAAGCAAGAGAATCCGCTGGTACATGGGTGAGGAGAGAAGAAGATAGGATTAGAGAGGTAGGTCAGGTCGAGGTTAATGGAGTGGTGCACAGTCCCTAAACAAGTTGCAGCTGGAAGTGAATTTAAGATGACTGAGAGGCAGAGATGTCAATGAAGAGGCAATGGTAGTATTTCAAATGAAGAATGCAATGGCCTGGACCAAGGTCAGCAAGGTAAAGAGGAAAAGCATATGATAGTGATATTCAGTAGGTAAAATTGTCAAGATGGGCAGGTAGAGTCATTTTAGTAAATGGAGGACTCCAGAATGACTCCCCAATGGCTTACTAGATGGCAATACTTTTATCTAAGATATCAAATCCAGAAGGAATTCCAGAATTGAAGCATGTTAAGTTTGGTCATAGATATCTTGGAATTTGAGGTGTCAATTGATTATCTGAGTAGAGATGTTACTCTAGGCAACTGAATATAAGGGTATGGAGTGCAGGAGAAGGATTTAGAAGGTATCAGGATACAGAGAGCAGCGGAAGATGTGTGTATATGAGATACCTCTGGAAGCGAGCTGAAAATTAGATGATGAGATGAAGCCCTGGAGGTAACAGTGCACTGAAGTTCTCCTAAGAAGGTTAAGGATGAAGAAGGTAGAGCAGAAGCTAGAGAAAATGTGCACAGGTCAAAGAAGAAACTTGATGTGCCAAGTGTTTATATGTTTACTTGTTTTAAAGATTAGAAATACTTATGATTATTTATATGTACTACTAGTTAGAAAAAGTTAAAAATGCTGGCAAATGTGAGAAAATTGATGCTACATAACAAAGTAACTTCAGCATTAAATCAAGGTGCTCAATGTTATCTGTTGCTTGGAGAACCCACAACCTTTGTCAGCCAGGCACCAAATGCTAGGCAGAATAGATCCATCTACAAATTGTGCAGAGTCAAGCAGCTCTTTGAGGAAAAAAAAAAATCAAAATAGGTCTTCACCTTGCAATATACACACACACCAACATGAATTTTAGATGGATAACACACACACACACACACGCACACAAGAAAACTAAGTGTAAAAACTACATTATGTTTTAGGTTCCATTATATTTAAAAGGAATCAGAAGTAAAAACAAAAAGCCAGTTCTCTACAGAATATTTTAAAAAGAACCCAAACGAGCATTGTCCTAGCAACAGAATATAAACCTGAACATCCCTGTGAGCTGTAGAAGATGACACAGACATGAGTGAGAACCCAGAGAACTGTTTATAGCTTACAGGAAAACATGCCAAGCAAAGGAGTTGGTAAGTAAATAGACAACTCTGGAAATGAGAATAAGGACAAAGGTCTCAGCAGTCAGGTTGCTGCCAAGCCAAGCAAGCAACTCTAGAGCCTGAAATAAGCACAATGTGAGGATAGACTGGGAGGTCTCTAGACTAAAGAGGGAAAGACGGCCTCCATTTGCACCTATTTTATGATTCTTGAACTCAAACTCTCTGTTCTCTAAAAAATTTACTATAGAGGCTAGTTCAACAAGTTTGATAGCAAATGAATAATAATTGTTGCAGGCTGAGTTCTCTGGAAAGAAGATGCTGTGGTGGAGTTAGGAGTGCTAACGGTTATTGGGGAGTAACACCTGTGAAAGTGAAATGAGAAAGCAAAATGGGGCAGGGAGCGTCAGACCACCACAAAGAGCCAACAAATGTCTGCCAGCCTGGCGGGAACTCTGGAGCAAAGATTGCCTGTTAAGTAGCTCCAAGTGCCTGAAAACGGTGAAGCCCTTGTACTATTGCCTCACTCTCATTGGCTGGGGACCACGATGAAAAAAGGGTGACCATGGCTGGAAAGCTGAAGGCATTAACAGCCGAGGCTGCCAGCTAATCCACTCATTGCAGATGGGCAGCAAATTCTTTCTTGAAGGAGAATATGAACAGCACATCTCTATGTCTGCCACAATAATCTTCAAATGATTAATTAGAATATTCTCATCATATTAAAAGGCTGACGTACTAAGAGAAGTGTACCCTACTTCAGAAACATGGTCTCTGCTGGCATTATTTCTCATCAACTGGCTGCTGCCTCACATTGATGGAAATCTGGGTCCACTGATTTCTACCCATACTTTTTCTGCCTCCTTCCTAAGTGAATGGCATAGCAGAGGCTACACAGCAGTGTCCTACTTTCTCATGCATTCTCCTCCAAGGGGACTTGGCACATCAGGTACATTCCAGGACCATCTTCTGATCTCGTCTTGCCACTTAATTTTAAAATGTCTTATAGAAAACAATGAGAAAATACTCTAAAGATTCAGGA